GTTTAAAGTATGTTCTAAATAATAAATTATTTTTCAATATAAATTGTTTTCTATACTAGTAAATAGATAAATGAAGGATAGAAAATAAATTCTGGTTTATAATTCTATCCTAAAGCTTTGGATAAAGTGTAAGGAAGAAGATATTACAGAAGAATGATTAAAATATTATTGATTTATTCATATTTATTCAGAATTCGTTGAACCTGAAGTTTTAAATTCTCTTAGACCAATTAGATTAACATAGAGAAAAGAATATTAACCAACTCTAGATTGTGTAGTTAAAAAGACTAGGCTTCCTGGGCGCCTTGCGACCATGTTAATTGTTTCCCTGTCTGCGGCATTTTCTCTTTCTAAATTATCAAACAATATGAAAAAAAATTGGTGGATTTTTCAATTTTTTTTCGTAGACTTTTATAAAACCAATTTTTTTGAAAGGTTAAATTCTGAGCATCCATAAACCTTCCCTGAAGTCATGTGAGGGCTCACAAAAATTTGGGCCGGATCGGTTCAGCTGGATTGACGTTTAATGGATACAAACAAACACCCTCCCAAATAAGCAATGTATATTTAGATGGAGGACATCTGTCATCAAGGTGTTGTTACACTTCAAAGTCGACCTATTCTTAAAAATTGATGTTTAATTTCTATACTTGTCTGGATCTGAATATTAAAACATTTTAGACACCTTTGAAAAGTAAACCTGGTGTCATTACTTATACTTTTTATAGATTGATGTTGCAATTGCATGTAGATTGTAAAGGCTAAAACTTGAGGGAATAAAGCTGACTTGCATAATTTTGTGTGTAGAGTTGATCATAAAATTTTTGCAACTTTTAAATTGATATAAATTTATAATTTTTTTAACTGTTTATTTCAAGTGGGGGTTCTTTACAAAAGTGCGTTTTTCTACTGCACCAGGAAAACATTTTGGAATTATCAGAAATAAACCTCGAAAACGGCAATATGTTTCACAGTATTGGGAAAAAAAACGGATGAAAAGGATTGAAAGGATTGGTATTGCAAGGGATGAATTTGTATCTTCTACAAGTTTCTGCATATTTGATTACTCCATTCAATTTCAACATTTCTGGGCTTGTCGTTTCTCTTAGTATCCAATTTCAAGTTTCAAATCTTCATATCATCACATTTGCCATTTTACGTTGAAGATTTCTTGAGTAAATATGAAATATTAACATTGTAGTTTCTATTCATCTTAGAGTATTCTAGTTCTTTATCCGTCCTAGTTCATCTTTCTCCAGTATATATGTACTTTCCATCCATCCTAGTTCATCTATCTCCAATATGTACTTTCTATCCGTCCAGCTTTATCTTTAATTCTAGTGTGCATTTTTTATCCTCCTAGTTCATCTTTCTCCAGTATGTACTTTCTTTCATCCTAGTTCATCTTTCTCTTACATGTTCTTTTTATCCATTCTAATTCATTTTTCTCCGGTATGTACTTTTTATCCGTCCTAGCGCATGTTTCTCCATTATGTACTTTCTATCATCCTAGTTCATCTTTCTCCAGTATGTACTTTCTATCCTTCCTAGTTTCTTATTCTAAAGTTCTACCTCCTCTTTCTTTAGTATGTAACTGCTATTCTGTTTTAGCTCATATTTCTCCAGTATGACTTTCTATCCGTCCTAATCCATCTCTCTCCTAAAAGTACTTTCTATCCATCATTAGTTCAACTTTCTTCTCCATGTTCTTTTTATCCATGCTCCGGTATGTACTTTCCATCCGTCCTAGCGCATGTTTCTCAAGTATGTTCTTCCTATCCGTCCTAGCTTCTTTTTCTCTAGTATGTAATAATTCTTTCTCAGCTTTAACCAGTTTGTAATTACTAATCTTTCTCAAACCATATTTCTTCCCAGTTTAAACTCTGTTTGCGCCTCAGTTCATTAATCTCAATGCATATACTCTCTATTAGTTTATCTGTTACCCAGATAAGTCTTTCTCTCTCCTCCTCCTAACCTTTAGGTCAGTTCTTCTCCTGTTTATCTCCGACCATACAACCCATATTCTGGAGTAGGAGTAATTCAACTTGACTTTACAAACTTCTCTTTCCTATTCACTCCGAACTCTCAAGTGAAGGTTTATAAAAATCCAATATTTCACAACTTTTCTCTAAAAATCTCTAGAGGGGATAAATGATGGGTTCTTGGTTAACTTTCTCCATAAATAATCTCCGAGTCTTAATATACACACGGACTCAGTTCTAAGGATGGACGGTTTTAAATCTTTTTAAATCGTTTCGTTAACGATGAACAATAAATGAAAACGAAATGATCGTTTTTAAAATGAAAAAAGATCCAAATAGAGAGAGAGTGACCGGCATGTATGGTAGTTGAACTGAGAATGTAGTATTTGTAGAGTAACGTTTTAGGATTTATTTGAGACCTATCAGACGTTTTTACGGTGCAAATTTGTTCAGCAAGAGGGCAAACTCAATGTTTAAAATCCTCATAGATTTTCCATTTTGGAGGGATGATTTTGAGAATCGGTTTTGGTTTTTTAGAGATTATTCAAGAACAACGTCAACCACGAAAAATGTAACAAAAGTTCTCCAGTAAACTAATAAGTTGTTTATGAACAGATTGAGAAAATAAAATGAACTTTAATCATCGAAAATAACAAACCTTATTCAGCTATTAGTTACTGTATTGTCTCATTGTTTACAAACATTTTCTGTTGATTTCCTCTAATTATTATTGAAAAGACGACATTTGAAGAAATCTGCAAACAAATTTGGGGAGAATAAGAAAATCAGTATAATAATGAAAAGAAAATAATTAATACTAACACTGATTTATTGTCAAATTTCTATTGAGAAATGTTCCTAAACATTCAAGTAGTTTACTAAAAATTTTTGTTACATTTTTCGTCCTTGTTATTGGATAATTTTTAAAAAACCGATTTAGGATTTTAAAAATTGAATTTGCACTCTTGTTAACAAATATGCACCGTAAAAACGTCTGAGTGGCCGCAAATGAATCCTAAAAAATTACAAGGCTGCATTCTCAGTTCAACTACCATACTTCGCCCTTTACCATACTCCCTTTAAAACGATGACCATCTCTTCTCAGTTCTAGAAAACTTAAGAGCAAAAATCCGAGGGCTAATAGAACAGTGGAAATTCTTATTAGACTTCCATGTTTCAATCAAATACTTTCTCTCACGTCTGTTGGATATTTCTAGTTTCCAAGAAATTGCACAGTTTTTGCTAAATTGTGCAAAAACTTTTAAAAACTTGTTTTAGATATAGATCTTTCTATTATCAAGGGGACCAACTTTAAACGAAAACAGTTAGATTGTTGATTCTTTTAAAATTCTAGAATTAACCATGAGGCCAGAACTTTTGTTTGAAACAGCGCTTATCTTATAGTTAAAGTTTCTCAATTCAGGATTGATCATGGTTTGTTTAGTTTCTCATCTATAATTTCTTAATCCCTAACCCAAAAGTTAATCTTTTTGAATCAACTGCAGGTAATTGTGGAAGTAAATATAAAATGAAAATTAAGATTGATCAAACTATACTTTCCGTTACTTCTAGACTAAACTTTTTTATAATTGGTGTAATTTATTTACTAAGTGATTGTAGAACACGTATAATGGATTATAGGTGACAGATGCATGAACGTCTGGCGATCCACGATACCATCCGTCAATTAGGCGGGCCTTACTTACGTTTATTGGTGCTATGTAGTCGGACCTAGAGGATACCAACCTATAGTTTTATTGGAGCTATGTACCAGTTGGGGCCTGAAAACCCCAATTTACCATATATTTTACTGATCCAGAGGAGGGGGGGTGGATTCCCTTAGACCCCCCTGTGTACGCCTCTGTCACTATTGCTTTTTTATACATTAAACGAATCCTTTTATTTTCGTTCCTGCATTAGCTGATTGTTTATACAAAGAAGATGTATCTCTACAGCATATATATAATATATATAAACACAATAAATATAAGTTCTATTATGTCACCTAGAAGGATATTTGGTCATTTGTGGAGGACATGGTTGGATACGCTTCAGGTTTCAGGTTTTCGTGTATATATTCCAATACTTGGTTTCTAGAATATGTAGTTTCTCCGGGTCTAACCAGAGCTGGAGAGAGCAGGTATCCAGGGTACACCTGGAGCACGCACAACATTTTCCTTCCTACATATGGTCTCACGCATAAACCAGTATATATCCAATATTAATGAAAACACAGTGCAGTGTACTTTGATTTCTAACCGTTAAACACTATCCGTGATAAAATGTGAAGCGAATTCTATTTAGACGTAATTTGCTACAACCATTACGTTTGGTTAAGAAGAGACCAAAGGATCTATGAAACAAACTCAAATTTTCTAATCTAATCTTCGCAACCTGATGAACACACAAACCTTTGATATTTTAAACTTAGATTATTTGATCTAACAGAATCCATAGTTGGAAATATCTAGGGTCAGCAACAAAAGGTTGCAAAGATATAGTGATTAGGAAATCATAGTTTGTTGCAAAGACTTAATTTTTACAGTTAGAATGTAACCTATAAACCGCTCATAATAATGTTCCAGTATCTACAAACAATGTTTAAGAAAAGAATTCTGTTAAGGAAAAAACAAATAGTACTCAAGGAACAGTGATTTATCTTAATGCACTATATATTACGTAAACCTATAGTTATGTGAGCAGGGGAAACCTTGAAGATTGACACAACAAAATTACCAGTAACATCTTTGGAAACTAATATCGCCTCCGGATTTAATTCTTTATCCGGAGATATAGATTAAAACCAAAGATTTAGATATGTTTCAGATTGTTCTCTAGATGTAGGGAGAACCCTGGATAATCTCTGGTTATGTTCTCTAGATGAAGTAGGAGAACCCTGGATAATCTCTGGTTATGTTCTCTATATGTAGTAGGAGAACCCTGGATAATCTCTGGTTATGTTCTCTAGATGTAGTAGGAGAACCCTGGATAATCTCTGGTTATGTTCTTTAGAGTAGGAGAACCCTGGATAATCTCTGGTTATGTTCTCTAGATGTAGTAGGAGAACCCTGGATAATCTCTGGTTATGTTCTTTAGATGAAGTAAGAGAACCCTGGATTATCTCTGGTTATGTTCTCTAGATGAAGTAGGAGAACACTGGATAATCTCTGGTTTTATATGAATTGTAAACAGGAGTCAAGCAATGATTATACGGACCAACAGTGATCCACAAAATTGTGCGTCCATCATTGAGACTGGGCCTACATTGAAGTGACACCAGACCTTTGCCCTTGAATTCAAGTTTCTGCAACCCACCTTTCATTTTTGTTGCTCTGAATATTACAATTTCAAAATTCCAAAGTGTATTCTAGTTGATCTAGTTAGACACTAGTCTCCGGGTAGGAATATGGAGAGGAAAACCTTCATCCTGATTCCTCTTGTTATTTTCCTTTCCCTTCTCTATACTTCAGATCTGATTCTTCCAAACCAAGGTTTTAGGTAAAAGTTATGTTTCATGTCTTCTTAAATCCTTTTATCTTCGCCACTAATGATGTCAATCATTGATATTTCAGCATTGACTAATTGATTTCGGAGAGTTCAAAGTTTGAAATATAAAAGGTCTATCACATCAGGTTGAAAGACTAAAAGGATAAGAAAATTAGAGCTGATGCCGGACTCAATTCCTAATTCAATTAACTTGCTTCAAATAGCTATTTTAATATTTGCAAATTGCAAATTGCAAACCGCAAATTGCAAATCGCAAATTGCAAAACATCACAATTTTTTTTTAACTGGATGAAAATGAGTCAGAAACTGTAACGGTAAAGAAATTAGTGTAAATAATTATTGAAGTTAATAATTATTGAAATTATCAAAAAAAATGGAAAAATGTAAAGAACAAAGATGAATAGTTTTTAATATTTAAAACCAACAGTAGGAAGTTTATAGAAACTGTAAAAGCAAAATTGAACTTCTCAGATCTTGGTAAAGGAATTGAGTCTTTGTAACAAGCTCTGATTTTCTAGTATCTATATTTTTTCCACCTGATGGTGTAAACCTTTGATATTTTCCCCCCGTTGCAGTCTGCGGTGGAGCCTCAGAGGGCCTAACCTAACCTTTGGGAAGTTGCCGCTTGGGAAATATCATATTTTTTGGAAGTTACCACTGGGGAAACTGTCACTTGGGAAGTCGCACATTTGGGAAGTTGCCTAACACAGTCTAAATCACTAACTGCAGAAGGAATCTTGACTTTTTTTCAAGAGATTGTTCATAAAAATCTGGTGACGTGGGAGGTACAAATTTTTAAACAAAAGGTTAAATAGAAGGTTAAATAGATTACCGAAATCCAACTAGGATATTTAGATTTTAAGCTTAAGGTTTTGGAAAGGAAAAACAAAGTCTTTAATAGATTGAGAAAAATTATAATTGTTGTTGTCATATATCTATTACATTGAATATCATTTTTGTTTTCCAATTGAATGGTTCACAGTCATTTTTGAAGCTTTAAAACCAAATTTATGAAAAATCCCTTTTATTATTGTAAGTTCTCAGTTTTACAGCTATGATAAAGTTTTTCTTTGCAGGAATGCAGAAAACTTCGAGACTCAAACCATGGAAATGTTCGAATCCAATTCAATTTCTGGATCTGAAATCCTAAATTCAAATCCAATAATATCTCCATTTACGGAGATGGCTCCAGGTCATGGAACTGAAAACACAGAGTTAAACGGTTCAACAGAATCTCGTCCTAGTTCTAATATCTCCACCCCCATGGAGACAACCCGTGTTGGAGAATGTGGTTGTGAACCAGTTCCCCTGGAACCTGTAACCGAACCCTACAACAGAACAACCTGTGGACCTGGAGCCTACTCAAGGGGGTCGGGACAGAAGGTGTTCGCCTTCACGTTCTTTACAGTTAACCAGACCGAGGCAGGGCTGAAGGAGAACAAGGAGGAGGAGAGACATTATTTTCAAGGTATAGAGGAGAACCTGAACCTCATGAATAAACTGTATCCCGGATACAGGATGCGGGTTTACTATGACGTAGATCCGGGTACCAAGGATAAGCTGTGTACTCTGGTTTGCTCTAGGAGAGATCTAGATATCTGCGATGCTTCTAATAATCCTAGGTAAGCCTAGATAGTTATTACAGATTACAAAGATGGAAAATTTTCCCCGGAAAATTTTTCGAAATTTACTATTTTTGAAAATGCACCAATTAAAACAGAAAATCTGCGAAATTTTTGAACGATTACAAATGGCGACCCTCTATTTAGAAGATGGCATGTCCAATTCACAACGGTAACTGTTAATTTTTCTTCATTTTACCTAAAGTACGAATATGCAAGACACTTTTATAATAGAGAAACCATAACTTTAAATAAAAAATGTTCAGTAAAGAAGATAAGGATATCTCATTAATCCAAGACCATAGAATGGTTTTAATGGTAACTTTTGGAATCGGTCTTGTCACTTTGTGAATGGAAGGTTTATTTAAAATTAAGGCTACGTTCTTTAAAGTTTATACAAAAGTTGTTTTTTGAATTAATCTTATCTTTGTTATCCATGAACGTCATATTCCCAAGCATTGTAAAATTTCCAAGATTTTGTTATTTTTCTAAAATATTTATTCTTCTATTTATAGTCAAAAGTAAATGATACTTATGATACTTAGTTGCGATAAAGAAGATTTTGGACTCAAAAATAAATATTCTTTTTTAGTTCAAGGTTTTGAAAAGCGAAAAAAATATTGAAATTTACAACAATAGAATAAAGACGATTTTTAGGGACCATTGAAGTTGTAAGGGTTTGCCATTTTTTAAGAATTGTTTTTTTAGAATCTTTTTAAATTTTAACTGTAAAGAATTTTCCACTCCTGTTCCAAATTGCAACCGCATATCTTTCATTTTTGGATTAAGAATGAAAACAAAAATATTTTCAGAAGAAATTTATTAATTAATAGATTATTTAATTGAACCTTTTTTTCGGGTTTTCTCTTAAAATTATGAAAAGTAATAAATATTATTTTCTTCTGATTTGGTTATTCAGAATCATCTTCAAATCTTTGTTTAGGTTAGGAGACATGAGACGGCTTTATCCTTTGGTTTGTTTAGGTTAGGAGACATGAGACGGCTTTATCCCTTTGTTTGTTTAGGTTAGGAGACATGAGACGACTTTATCCTTTGGTTTTTTTAGGTTAGGAGACATGAGACGGCTTTATCCTTTGGTTTGGAGATTCCTTCCAGCTCTAGGCAAACAAATCATTCTCGTGAAATCAATCAAAATTAATGTTTTTAACAGAAAGGAATTGAGTCTTTGACACAAACTTTAATTTTCTAATCCCTAAATATTTGCAAACCAATGTCGTAGACTTAAAATATTTCAAACTATTAGTTATGTTAGATCAAATAGTAAAAGTTTGAATATCAAAGGTTTACATCATCAGGTTGAAAAGAAGAAATAGATTGAGTTTTCATTTTTCATTGGAAACAAAGGCATGACCGTTGGTTTTAGACGTATTCGAACGAATTTATTTAGTGCTTAGAAGGGTTTCCATTTTTCCGGAAAAAATTTCAATTTTGGAAATGGAATGATCCGGAAATTTGTTGCGTATAAACCGGAATTCCGGGATATTTCCGGATCAAATGGAAACCGGAATGTTTGCGGTTTACGTCACGTAAACAAGAAACATTTCCGGTTTACGAAATGGAAACTGGAAATTTTACGGTTTTAAACTTGATCTGTTTACTAAGCACTAAGATCTGAACCGGCTTAATTCTGCTTGATCTGTTTACTAAGCACTAAGATCTGAACCGGTTTAGTTCTGCTTGATCTGTTTTCTAAGCACTAAGATCTGAACCGGTTTAGTTCTGCTTGATCTGTTTACTAAGCACTAAGATCTGAACCGGTTTAATTCTGCTTGATCTGTTTACTAAGCACTAAGATCTGAACCGGTTTAGTTCTGCTTGATCTGTTTACTAAGCACTAAGATCTGAACTGGTTTAGTTCTGCTTGATCTGTATACTAAGCACTAAGATCTGAACCGGTTTAATTCTGCTTGATCTGTTTTCTAAGCACTAAGATCTGAACCGGTTTAGTTCTGCTAGATCTGTTTACTAATCACTAAGATTTGGACCGGTTTAGTTCTACTTGATCTGTTTACTAAGCACTAAGATTTGGACCGGTTTAGTTCTGCTTGATCTGTTTACTAAGCACTAAGATCTGAACCGGTTTAGTTCTGCTTGATCTGTTTACTAAGCACTAATATCTTAACCAGTTTAGTTCTGCTAGATCTGTTCACTAAGCACTAAGATATGAACCGGTTTAGTTCTGCTAGATCTGTTTACTAAGCAATAAGATCTGAACCGGTTTAGTTCTGCTAGATCTGTTTACTAAGCAATAAGATCTGAACCGGTTTAGTTCTGCTAGATCTGTTTACTAAGCACATAGATCTGAACCGGTTTAGTTGCATTAACTATTGATGATGTATTATTGCATGCTGGTGAGAATTATGGAAATCCAATATTTGTTTAGAACCATTTAGACCTTGCTGTATGTATATACATAAACAGGGAGGACCAGACAACATAAGGAAAATTGGACCTTCGCGACCACCCTGGACTAAACAGGATAATACGGTTTCTTCAACTAGAATTCAATCGAGTTTTGCTCATTAGTTAAATATTCTTTAAATTTGCAGGTCCATGTCTTTTATACCTTTTCATTTTAAACATATGTCGACGAAAAAGTCTTAAAACTGAACTGTAAAATCAGCGCGCCCCTGCCCCCCTTTCTGAAAAATTGAAAATTTTCATTTTCTGAGAAAGTCTAGAGTTTAATCCTTGAATGTTTTTATTTTGTAAATTGCAGTTGGTCATGTTTTTTGTTACTTTTCCTTTATCTGATAAAAAAAAACTAAGTTGGATGTTTTGAATTTACAACTTTTATTTGTCACAGTTCGTTCAAAGCAAGGTCAATTTCTCCTGAATGCATTACAATATAGTTTCAAGAGATTCCTCCTTCAGACTCATGTTTCTTGAAACCCACTGTAGTTACTCCCGAGGTTAAATAAGTACAATCTTCTTGGTTAGGGAAGCTCCGAAATCTTATACTTTTGTAATGATTGTCGAAAACCCCGCCAAGAAATCCACTCGGTTCAATAAATGGAATGGTACGCGTGTACGATTATACTAGACCAGTAAATTCTCGTACCGATTATAATCATGCAAAGACAGAACCTACGAAGGTTTTATATTTCATGTTGTCTGGTTCTCACTGCATGTTTATACAACTAACAAATGACAAATTATGTAACCCAGAAAAAGTAAATGTTCGTCTCCGGTTTTACATATAACAAACCAATGCAACCCAATGTCGTAAACCTTTGATATTTCAAACTTTCATTATTTTATCTAATAGAAGTTATAGTTTGAAATGTCAAAGGTTTACGACGTTGGAATCCAAAGATAAAGAGATTCGAAAATCAGAGTTTGTGGCAAAGTCTCAATTCCTTTTGCATTTACAAATTTAAATATAAAATTTAAGTTTATTTTTGGTTAATAGGTAGAACCCCCTTTTTTAATTCTTTCAACCTTATGTCGTAAACCCTTGATATTTCAAACTTTGAATTCTGCTAGATCTCATAGTCAACGTTTGAAATATGGAAGGTCTACACTATCAGTTTTCAAGGATTAGAGGACGGGAGTTCAGTTCCTTTGTGTCTTTTTTAGTTTGCTGTATGCTTTACATACGCATGCCGTTTAGATCAAATTTAGGATCATCATATAAATTTAATATTTATATGGGACACTCTGTATCTTTATTGATTCACTGATGAAAATCTGTTTCCTTTAATATGTCAATATTTCTACAGTTGAATGATGAGTTTTATTTTCTTCAGATCCACAGGTCACTCTTCACTCTTCATCCTGGATACACAACCATCCTCTCCGGAGCTAGGGGGGGGGTAATCCTGATACACAACAAACACCTCCGGAGCTAGGGGGTTCAGTCCTTGATACACAAAACCATCCTTCCGGAGCTAGGGGCGGGGAGTTAAAATTATTTACATTATCAATATTTACCATAAAAAACGTGGGAGTTTTTTCTTTCTGATATACAGTTATTGGGAAAATGTCTTTGTTAGATGAGGGTAAATAGGTTATCAAGTACAAATTCTAAGTTGCCATCTATTGTACTAGAATCTATTTGGATGAGGGGAATGTTTGTAGGGTTCCTATTGTTTGCTCTAAGGGAGGATGGGAAATAGGTTAGAAAGTACATAGGTTTGATATAGGTTAAGAGTACATAGGTTGGAGATAGGTGAGAAAGTACATAAATCGTAGAAGTAGCAGGATTGGAGCTAGTCAGAAGGTACATTTAAAAGAATTGGAAGCAGTTTATAATGTACATATAGCAGGATTGCAGCTAGTTTAGAAAGTACGTATAGCTGGATTGGAGATAGTTTGGATTGGATATCATAAATACTGGAGATAGTTTAAAGGATATTATGAATACTGGAGCTAGTTTAGAAGGATATTATGAATACTGGAGCTAGTTTAGAAGAATATTATGAATATTGGAGGTAGTAAAAAAGGATATTATGAATACTGGAGCTAGTTTAGAAGAATATTATGAATATTGGAGGTAGTAAAAAAGGATATTATGAATACTGGAGCTGGTTTAGAGGCATATTATAAATACTGGAGATAGTTTAGAAGGATATTATGAACACTGGAGCTAGTTTAGAAGAATATTATGAATATTGGAGGTAGTAAAAAAGGATATTGTGAATACTGGAGCTGGTTTAGAGGCATATTATAAATGCTGGAGATAGTTTAGAATGATATTATGAATACTGGAGATAGTTTAGAAGGATATTATGAATACTGGAGCTAGTTTAGAAGGATACTATGAATAATGGAGCTAGATTAGAAGGATATTATGAATACTGGGGCTAGTTTAGAAGGATATTATGAACACTGGAGATAGTTTAGAAGGATATGATGAATACTGGAGCTAGTTTACAAGAATATTATGAGTACTAGAGATAGTTTAGAAGGATATTATGATTACTGGAGATAGTTTAGAAGGATATTATGAATACTGGAGCTAGTTAAGAAACATATTATGCATACTGGAGATAGTTTAGAAGTATATTATGAATACTGGAGCTATTTTAGAAGAATACTATGATTACTCGAGATAGTTCAGAAGGATATTATGAACACTGGAGCTAGATTAGAAGGATATTATGAATACTGGAGCTATTTTAGCAGAATACTATGATTACTCGAGATAGTTCAGAAGGACATTATGAACACTGGAGCTAGATTAGAAGGATATTACAAACTAAATGGATTTTTAAAATACATTATGAGTGGAATGTCCAATACACAACGGTGCCCTTACAACCTTCAAGAGTGAATGATATATTCATGCTTTTTCTATCTGAAAATTGATAAGTTTAAATTTTGTTCTCTGGCAGATTTATAGCTGCAGAAACAATGTAGGAAATTGTTAGAATTAAACAATTATCAACCTGGAAAAGCAACGATATTAGAGGTTACTGTTGCGAATCGGACATGCCAATCAATAACTGAAGGGTCGTCACTTGATATTATGTTCATCCAGAATCCCTTTAAGCCAGTCGAGAAGGATAATATGAACAATAATTACTGAAGCCACCGAGGATATGGTAGTATTAGTAACTATCCTTAATTAAGGTTGATGAATTCTATTCCCGGGATCTAGACTCCAGATTATCTGCGAGAGAGAAGGCGGCGGTTCAAGAGTTCCAAAACAGTGGGAAAATGGTAATTTTTATATTTTTGCTTTAGAATGTATAAAATACATATAAAACTACTTAATAAATCCACAATGATGTTTATCTTAAGGGGTTGGAACACGAGATCCATCAATCATAATTTCATATCGTAGTTTTAGTTCAAGCAATATCAAACTTTAAATCTGACTTTAAGTAACTAAGGACTATGTATAATCTGCATGATATTGTTTCAGTTCTCCTTGACATCTTATGTTTACCCACATTCAAAAGTTATGTCTTGCAAACTAAACTTTCTTCGGAGAAAATGTTTGCTTTGCGAACTTTAGTTTTGAAAAAGTTGAATTTAAGATTCATGTGATGCGGGATAATCCTAACCATGGAGCAAGTATAATGGGAGGGATGTGGGGAGCTAAACTCAACCCGGAGCTCAGGAACGAGTTCAAGGAGTCCTTCGTTAAGATCTTCAAGGACGGATTGGCGTATGCGAACAGGGAGGGTGGAGGGTGGGATCAGATCGTTCTCAAAAGGTTTGCAGACGTTTTTTCTTTTCGAAAATTATATATACAGGGTGTCCCACGAAACATGACGGTGAATAATTTAAAATGTCTTCTTCCTAATAAGTTGTTTAATACCCAAGAGAATTTAAAGAATATTTAATGGAAGTCATATTAAAGTAAAATTGATTTCAAAATAAAATATATTTTTGTAAAAGATTTTATCGAACGAAAAAAAATGCAGTAAGTCTTTTATATCTATTAAAGTATAGGGAAGAAAACATTCTAAATCATTTACCTACTGTCATGTTTCCTGGGACACCCTGTAACTACATGTACAGTGCGACAAATAATACTGTGGAATAGCAAGACGACATTTAAGCAATTTCATGTGTATTTCATGTTTTAAACACAGTTTTCCTAGTATCTTAATAATCATCTTGTTAAGCTGAATGGGTCTGTGTACACTACACAATTGTTATGTTTCGTGTTCATTGGACTAAAACATATTCAAAATCATAACTTACTTACAGTCGTCTTCCTATTCTACAACCTTATGGGGCTCAAGCTGTATCAGGTTAATTTACAAAATTAAAAGTATTAAAACAATGGAGCATTTAATTAATAATCACCAGATTTAAGTTTTTTTCAGCAAAATAATTTGAAATATTGGAAAACGGTTTTCATGAAAAATTAAGGCTGTTAAAACTAAATTCTGAGCATAAATGTTGTTTATTCTTTATAACATTCGTTTTAAGGCGCCTACTTGTAAAATTCTCGCTTACAGCATATATATATTCTAGGTATATTTGGCCCTGGGGTAAGAAGAAAGCGTATGCTCATGATTCGTATACATGTAAACAGTTCTCCTATACACATTCATTTCCAACCAAACGATTACTTGGGGTTGGTAACTACGTAGGTAGGATTAAATATTTTTTATGCAGTTGTGCCTTGCTTGTTCTATGGGACAAAATGTTTTGTTTTTGGAGATTTAAAATTTACAGTTTAAATGAAAGTTTATTCCTTATCAGTATAAAACATACAGGATAACCCACAAAAGAGGAGACTTCAAAGACGGACTGTACAGAATCTATGCGGTCTATTTCCTTTTATCTAGGATTCTCTGCAACTGTAACCTGGTTTCCTTCGTTGCCATGTCAACAATGGCCATTAAAATACAATATTCAAGACCAAAAACTTAATTTGACCTTGAATCGTCATATTATATGATTTTCAGGTCGTCTTTACAGTCTCATCCTTTGTGGGTTACCGTGTAAGGAAATCCGCCATAAAGGATGAGACTTGAGATCTACAAATTTTATTTAATCTTATCATACATTTTAGGTTCTTTCATGCCCAGCATTTAATTTACCAATAAATAAATAAAGAAATAAAAGATCAACCATCATTAAATTGAAATCAAGGCCGAGAGCCCTTCAAAAATAACCGCCAAAGAACGGAAATTAATGACACTGGTCTATTGAAAATCAACATGTCAAGTTCTAGGCCAGTTTACCATTAATATTTACGAAAAGCCCTGTAGTTCTCCGTTAAGATAAATAAAGTTTCAGATCATTATTGTCTCATCCTTTGTGGGTAATCACAATCTTTTTTAAACACCTAATGCAATGAATTTGATAATGAACTGTGAAAATCTACAAAAAAACTATTGACCTTAGAAGTTTTCTTCATTCTTGGTCCGTAGACGGGATATAACTATTTGAATAAAGATGCTGGCAAATTGTGGTGGTTAATTACCGTGCGCACAAATTGGATTTCATTAGCTTGGGGTTTTCTCAAAATCAAGAAACCTACAGGGTGTCCCACGAAACATGACAGTATGCAGGACGACTTGAATGTCGTCTTGATTTTTGATATAATTTGCTGCGTTTATTTGTCAACCTAATTTTAGAAGTAAATTTCTAGAGATAATAATCCCAAAATTTCCCTTGTCCTGCCATTTCCAAAATGTGGTCTGCCATTTTTGTGCTTTCAATATTGCCCGAGATATGAAGAATTTCGTTCAGATTTCGACAATTTTGGTTTTATTTAACAAAATTGAAATCTGAACCAAACTCTTTATATCTCCGGTAATATTGAAAGCACAAAAAACGTACACCACTTTTTGGAAATGCCAGGGCTAGGAGAATTATGTGATAATTGTTTCAAGAATCATACATGTTAAAGTAGATAGAAGACTAAATGTCACACAGAAATTCAAATACCAAAGACGACTTTCAAGTCGTCTTGCTATTGTCATGTTTCGTGGGACACCCTGTAAGTAAAGGTCCGATAAAAATAGTTCGAATTGTTATTTAAAATTTCTTAATTTCAGGCTCGATTGTTTCTTTAAACGCTACAGTACGGAACAAGTGCCCACGCAAATGTCGACCAAAGGACCATAAGGATTGGAGTTACTGTTAGAAATCAAAATGTACAGTGAAGTTTACAGAACATGTACATGACCTTGACGTAAACAATTTGAACTTGTAAGCAGCCAAATGTGATACAAATTTATTTCAAGAAAATCTTCGACTGATCTAAATAAATTTTCATTAACAAATGCAACATTTCATAAGAAAAAGGAGTTTACATCGGAATTGTACAAGAATTTTAAAATGAAAGATTACATACATATGTATTTTAAAACCCTCCTCTGCCTCTGAACCCGAATCCACCACCTCCTCCGCGTCCTCTAAATCCTCCATCCCCTCCAAATCCACCGCCACCTCTTCCTCCGAAACCGCCTCCTCTACCACCAAACCCTCCTCCGCCCCTTCCTCCAAAACCACCGCCTCCCCCACCATATCCTCCTCTACCAACTCCATAGCCTCCTCTGAATCCACCTCCGGATCCGTAACCCCGGCCTCCGAACATGGCGTTGAATCCAGGACCTCGTTTGGCAGAAGGACCGTCGTCGTCTCTACCCTCGAAAGACCTCGGAGGCCTCTTTGTTTGGAAACCTCCGAACCCTACCTGGTCCATCTCATGCCGACCAGCATTCAGTTTACAGAGTTGTTTTATAACCTGGATAGTTTTATCCTCCTGATAGCTTGGTTCGGATATAGTATCCGGCTCCGCCGCACACCGAATTACCAACGCCTCAAGACTAGGTCTCAGGGCGGTAATTGCGGCTGCAGCCCTGGCGTCCATGTTCAGTGTAATCCAGTTGTCTAATCTAACCATACCTTGGGGAAGGAGTTCAATCTTCCTGGAGGCGAATAGGACAAGATGAAGAGGGGTAACCATCGTCATTCCTTTACAGGATATAGCTCGGGTTCTTATTTTCTCATTAAACACAAAGAATGGGATGGGGAATTGAACCACTTCTCTGGAGCAGTTTACACTGGATTTATGAATCAGAGCTGCTCTAGCCTCCGTGGTGAGAACCTTCCTCTTCTCCTTGTGCATACACACGTTGGGATACACACCCATCGCGAGCAGAGCGATCACCATATCGAGTTTAGGATCAGGACCGTTGAAGTTGTAATCCTGCGGGATAAAACATTCCTCCGGGAATCCACAGCTGACCAGCAGGGTCTTCAGCTGGTTCTTTGCCTCCCAGGTCACTCGCATAGTCGGCATATTTAATCCTTTATGATCACAGAAGTTAACTTCTGAACCTTCTCCTCCCTGCCTAGCATTCTCCCAACACTAAACATAAGATCGTTAGTTATCATTCTCAGATTTTGTTTACAATATATTCAATTATAATCAAAGTATGCAACAATATAAACCCTACAATGATTTTTTTATTGTGTGCTAAGCCAAATTAAGCAAATGCAACATTAATTAAGATATTAACAACAAATACTTCAAATATTCACAAATATGACTTTCTGTTTCAAATACCTCCATAGGATGTATTTATTAAAAATTTTCTATTTAACAATAAAAAAAAAATATTATATACCTGGAAAGCGTTGAGCATGGCAACATGATCAGAACAACGATTTCCAGCGAAGTTTCGCTGTTGATAACTTAACCTAAAAATATGCATGTTTAAAAATTGTACATTTATGTCCTGTCCGTCCTCTGCCAATCCATCTTTGTCCTTTCCATGTAGATTCAAATATATTTGAATACTAAGTTTTTTGAACGCCTCTTTTCTAGTAAAATGCTGCTTTTAAATGTTTGCTTTTCAAACCACCATTTTTCTTCTTAATCGTAATTACAAAAACCTAAACATTTTGCGAATTTTTCAATTTACATTGATGGATTCCCCCCCAAAAAATTTAAATCCAGATTTTTTTTTAATTTCCACCATCAACCTTTCTTCAAGGGTCATGTGAGGTAAGATACCATATGGGCCAGATCGATCTAACCGTTTCGAAGTAGATTGAAGACAAACAAGACAATAATCAAATCAAATCAAATCAAATCAAATCAAATCAAATCAAATCAAATCAAATCAAATCAAATCAAATCAAATCAAATCAAATCAAATCAAATCAAATCGAACCCAACCCAACCAAACCCAACCAAACCCAACCCCTTTAAGGGATGCCCTATAACCACACCCCGATCGAAAATGATTTTTTACCTTCCCCTGGTCATGTCTGTCATGAATATCTCGGAACCTGTTGCTGACGCCGCTGCCATCGTAGTCAGAGCATCCCCTGCATAGAATAGAGCTCCAAGTACCATCATCTTACCCAGACGAGGATCTATAGGCAACCGGGCCAGGATCCTACCCAGCGGAGTTAATTCGTCTTGATTATCCAGAGCTCTCATCTCACGGAGTAAAACCTCGGCTTCAATGACGGCGTCAATGGGAGGAGGTTCCATACATTTAGACAGGAACTGTCCTACGGAACCAAGCTTGAGAAGCTTAATGGAGAGCGCGAGTTCATGAAGAGGAGTTCTAAACATTTCCGGAGTCATATGTTCGTCCAGTTTATCGTAGCGAGCCCGAGATATCAGATGGAATGCGAAACCTGGTCGAACACGACCAGCTCGTCCACGCCGCTGCTTCAGATTTGTCTTACTCGCCCAGACGGTGGCGTAGTTCGTCATATTGTTGTGCGACGTGAACAGTTTCATCTTCTGCTTACAACTATCAATCACGTAAACGACATCATCGATAGTAATAGATGTTTCTGCGATGTTGGTTGAGAGAATCACCTTGGTTACTCCCTGCGGTGTATGATCGAAGGCTGCTCTCTGATCCTCCCTAGGGAGCTGGGAGTGGAGCGGTATGATTCTATATTTCGCGGATCCGAATAGAGGATGCATCTGGAGATGTTTCATTAAACCGAATATCTGGCTCCAACCAGGCAGGAAAACAAGAACTGCTCCAGGTATCTGGAGAGAAGAGATGTACTCCAAGAGTGAATCAATTAGCTCAAACGGAACCTCACGCTCACCCATACTTGCCATTGCAGACTTAGTTTGCGGACTGTAGTCGTCGGAACAAATCTTGTTCAAATCTCCTGAAAAACAAACGTTTATAAAACTTTTCTAAAATGGATAATTTTTTGTTTGTTTTACCTTCATCATCATCCACCCCTTCTTCATCTTCGTCATTATCATTCTTGTTTCTATTCTTCCTGTTCTGTGGTCTAGAGGAGAGAGGAGGAACAAAGTTAGACATCTGAATACAGTCCTCAAGGAAATATTCCTGGACTGGGAATGCTCTGCCCGGCACTTCAACCACAGGACAACCGTTGAAATAGTTTGAAAACAGGGTTGTATCAATAGTAGCGGACATAAGAATAACTCTAAGGTCGGGGTATGTGTGAACCATGTCTCGGATCACAACAAGAAGAAAGTCAGAGTTAACATCGCGCTCGTGAATCTCATCAACAATAACGTGGGATACACCCCGGAGCCCTGCCTCCAGTTTACGGAGGAGTACTCCGACAGTACAGAACAGCACAGCTCCGTAAGGTCTAGGCAGGATGGATTCAAACCTAACAGTGTATCCTATAGATAATCCAAGCTCTTCAGTTCTCTCACTCGCAACCCTATCCGCTACAGATACTGCTGATATCCTCCTAGGCTGGGTACAGATAATATTACAGTATGCTCCTTGACCACTGGAGACATAATCATCAAGGATAAACTGACAAACTTGTGTTGTCTTACCACACCCAGTGTTTCCTCGGATCAAGACGACGGAGCTCTCCTGGATGGTTGAGAGGATCTCGTTCTTCATGTTGAAGATTGGCAGCTCGGATCTTTTCTTCTGAAGTTCCTGAAGGTTGGTGTCGGTTTTCTGCCGCTCCGACCAGTCCTGGTTCAAGTCGTCACTGATTGCGTCCATGGTTGCAGTAGCGAGGGGACCTTTAACAATCATGAATGAAGTTGAGTTTCCAATAAATGAAAATAATTCTGAAAGTTTTAGTCCTCTGTATACATCCCCCCCCTTCCATTCCTAGCCCTCTTCCAACTGACAAAATGCACTGAAATTTTTCAAATATTTGTTGCACTTTACATTGGATAAGTTTTGACAAGTTGGAAATAGTTTCAAGTCAAGAAAATAAAAAAATAGCAAAAATTAAAAGTGAGAAAGTGCACAGTAAATAAATTTGCCACTTCAGATCATAACTTTAGATGGCAATATATAAATATATATATATATATATATATATATATTACAAAAGACGTTGTACTTAGCCTGTGCCTAATTTCTAATTTTTATTTTCCTTGACTGCAGAGTGTTAAATACAAATACCACACCTGAGATGGAATTCAAAGAATTTGAGCCGCCGCCGCCGCTCAAATTCTTTAAATTCGGCCACAGGAGTCAAATAAGGATTTAATTTTTTTTTTGATTGAGAGCCAAAATATCCACTAGAGAATTTCTAAAATCAATGAATGTTTGATGTAATTAAAAACTTAATATACATATTACATATTCTATTCATTTTCGAAAAAATATTATTTTTATTTTTGGAAAGGACATAGGAACAAGCATCGGGACTGTGCGTAGAAATGTACTAAAACCGGTATTAAAGTCTTCGCAATAAAGAATTTCTTTTAAATATAAAACAAATATAATATTGAGGAAATATGTTCAGAAAAAATTCTAAACTTCCTCTATATTCATATTCAAAAGTTCAACGAACTTATATACTTCCTTGGATTTCTAATGTAAGGATTTATTGATTGTATGTTGCAAGGAGGACTGCTTATTTAAAAAGGCATTCTTATTATTAAAATAAAAATAATAAGTGAGAACTAGAGGATTTTTTGATGATTGCAATCTATGTATGTTTGTTAAATGTTTGTCAAGGTTTACATCCATTTTTAGAGTTAAAATATTATTCTTTCATAAAATTGTGTTGATTTTAAAAATATAAAGTTTCTATAATGCCCATTTCTTACGAAACCTGCCGATTAAGTACAATTACAGTCTAGGAAAGTAAAAAGTGGAACAAAATATCCGGATCCGGAAAAGGATCACCTCTTTTCGTGCATGCATAAATAATAAAAAGATCCCAATTTTCTCTTTCTTAATTAAACAAGAATTTGAGGGGCATTTCTAAAGAGTTTAAACAAACCTAGAAAGAACTTTGCTTTGAACAATATGATTTATATTTCATTTTTATTTCATTTGATCATTTTACTTTGTTTAAATGTCCTTTTCTATTTATCGCTCTTTACCAAATAACAAGTTAAAAAATTAAAAATGTATCTTTTTTATTATCAACCACATATACGCTTTCTGATATGTAAATAATTTACATCTATGCCAAACCCTATGATTTTGTTTTACTGTTACGTTTTGTTGTATCGCTTAGAACCAATTAAGATTTATATAAAAATAAATTATTTTTAGAGCAATCAAAAAATAAAATTGACATTTAAAAAATAAATCAAATAAAGCTAGGGTATCGACGATTCGATATATTTCATGCCAACTTTGCCCAGTCAATCAATCAGTACATTCAACAGCTCGCGTTTTCATCAAAAATATTTGATCTAAATCTGGTAAAAAATTAAACTTTTTAAGATTTCAGACTTGTACTCAAAGAACTAGTTGTAACAAAAAAAATACGAGGCCTAGAAAGAGAAATTTTAACCTTAAAATAACTGAAATTTAGAGCGTATCAATGAAACCTTGAATGTAAAAATAAAACGAAATTTGTTCCCTCAGTATCAAATATCCCTACTTCAAAGTTTTTTTTTGTGGGACACCATGAACTTTTGGAATATTTTCTCGAATGAACACTCCTGGAACGTATTCTCGAAAAATGAAAGAATAAATTTATAATTTCCATTGAAACAACAATCAACATAATATAATTAGGAATGGAGATAATAATTTAAACTTCATTTTGAAAAAGACTTTTTAAATTGTCGTGCAAAAATTTGCTTTTGGTAAGTCAAAATTGAAAAAAATAATGTTTTTCCGGGATAAAAATCCTATAAATCCGTACAATTTGAGACATTATCCGTACATTCCGTACAATCCGTAAATTTTGGCCACCGTGTACCCTAATTCTGAAAGTCCTAACCTTCGTCAATGTTAGCTCCGGTCCAGGGGTTCCAGTTAGGGTTGGGAGGAGACCAGGAGACAATCCCTGCATCCAGGACTGTGGTTGGGGGCAACATGTGATCAAGAGAGATGTCAGGGATCAGAGACAAGGATTCCTCGCTTGCTTCATGCCCTTCAACCTAGATCAATTCATCAATTCATTAATCAATCATCAATTTGAAATTTCACTTGATCATTTATCAATTTTTAATTATTTATTATTTAATCAGTTCCTAAAAATCTAAAATTAATGCAATGCAATTTAATCGGTTGATTTGTTTATTTGAAAATATTTTTGTTTCTCAAATATTCAATCCATTCACTAATTTACTGTTAATTCGAAAACAATCTTATACCCTTTATTGATTTTAATATATTTTTGATCTATCTTCAACTATTTAAATATTTTCTTTAGGATTATTTTCGTTTATAATAATGCATGTTTATCAATTTTCATTAATTTTTCTCAATTTCTAACAACTTCAATCTATTCTGAAAATAATTTTGTATATTTAAATATATATTAATTATTTAATATATCCATCTGATCAATCTTAATTTCTTTGTTTATTTTTCATGACAAGGTTATCTATTAATCAATTCATCGACCGATTACTTTTTAGTTTAATGATAATTATCTTTACAAATCTGTCCATTTTATTTCTAAACTTATATTTTTTTAGATTCAAATCTTTGTATTCATTTGTCCGCTAAATAAACTACTCTTTCCTAAAACTTTTAATTGTTTTATTTCGTCAATATTACTCAAAGTCATTACATTTTTTCATGTTTAACAGCTATTAACTAATACATAAAAATCCATTAACAGTAGTTAGGGAATCTTTTTTGGGGTTATTACATAGATTTTCTTTCAAACCTAAAAAAAACTTTTTTTACATGCCAAAACAAGATTTGTGATAATTAACTGAAAAATATGATTTCTAGTATTGAATGTTGATTATTTGCTCCTTAATTCAATCAGCAATTCATATATTTATTACCTGGACTGGAGCCATATCTAAAGATTTCAAAACCTCTTCAACTTGATTTACAAGCTCCGGGCTTATCTTAACATCGTAGGGTTTGAGCTCCTCCACGTCCTTGTTCCTTTTCAAGGACCCGGAGAAAGCTTCTATAACCCCGAGATGGAACATCTGCCTGATCAAGGAGAGAGCACAGGATTTGCTGGCGGACTGCTTGTTGCTCCCCGCCTCCCTCCCTGTTAGGTTTCTAGAGAGTTCCTGAACAATTAGAAAACTATAGAATAATTCTCTAGGGCAGTAAACTTCAGAATATCCAAAGTAAAAGTTTTAAACTGCATTAACAAATTAAAAAGTATAGAACAAACAACTATTAATAACTAAAACGGTGTATAATTCAATATCCCCTCCCCTCCAACCTTGACGAAGAAAGAGCACTCAGCCACGAAACTGCCGCCCTGCATGCTGTACTTGTAGTCCGTCTTAATGTTCCTCAGCTGAAAGAACTGGTGCAACATACTCTTAGCGTTCTCCATCGTCCAGTTTCCGTGGATTCCCGCGTTAACATCAACATCCTCTGCCTCTTCCATCTTCTTCTTGTCCATCCCTTCCAGGAAATCCTTCCTGAAGTCCCCCTGCCCTGGTTCCCTGTCTCTCCGCTGGTATGCAGAACCCAGAGTGTGCGGATCAAACCCTTCATTAAAGACCGGAGCTGAGCGTGTCAAACCAAGACCTATTCCGGGCGGAGCTTGAGAAATCCCGGAGTCGGCTGGAACCTCATGATTCTGCATCAAACCCTGTCGAACCAGAAACTGAACAAAGTCCTTGGCACTGTTACTCTGTGCATCAGCTTTACTTGTCGAGTTTCCGGCGGCAACATAGTCAAATCCTGGCACACGGAGCTCACAGAGAAACCGTTGTCTGTTCTTATTCCCAGCAGGACGGACCTCGTACACAGGTTGAACTTTCTTGTTGGTTCCTTTAAACAAAACAAAATTGCCTCAAAATTCACATTTCAAGAATTTAGATTTTGTCACATTTAAAACTTACCTAACCAACTGTAGAGGAATGCTTTAATGTTCTCCTCTGACATATTAGCAAAATCTATCCTATCCCTAGGTTTCTGGTTAAATCTCTATAAATGGTTAGAACATGATTAGTTAGAAGCCGGATACAGATGAAGCCTGATAGTTCCGGGACTAGACTCATTTCCGTTATCTGAAATATCCAAAACTTAACCTAGGATTTTAGAGGAAATTCCTTGTTTTTTATATGAGAAATTTCCAAAGTAAATGAATTCCAAGCCGCTTTGATGTATAATTGCAGTTCCAGGATTGCAAATGCAAATGAAAATGCAACTTTTAGGATCGTCCCGCTACCAAATATTGAGAAGGTTTTTTTTATTCTGATCAGGGTTGTGTGGTCAAAATTTCAATCGGGTTTGGTATCGTCAAAAAACCTTTTCTCAATAATTGGTATCTTGCAATCTCGTACTTCTGATCAAAAACCATGTAGTTACTTTAACGGCTTGAAACAAAAAGACAAATCTTGCAAAGTTCTCAAATAAATGTTTGATGTTTTGGATATTTCTGTGCAAAGAATCAGTCCGGCTTTCAGGGACTTAATTGATTTTTTTACTATTAAGTCCTGGATTTTTGGGATTTAAAGCGACTGTAAGCGTAATTTCAAATGACAATCCATACAAAGATAGCATATGCCCGATTTACAACGGTACCCTTGCACGCTTTGCCTAATCAAATATGAATTATATATCAACATTTTTGCTTCTTTTAACTGTTTATTTTCATTTGCGGTTTCTCTGCGAAAGTTACTTTTCTTACATTTCTTATTAATAAGAAGCAATGTAGATATTAACAGAAGTTAACACTTTTAGACATATTCCACATTTGTTTTATCAGATTAAGGTTTCAAGGGTACCGTTGTAAATCGGACATTGTTTGGAGGGTCACTTGAAATAACGCTTACAGTTTTTTTATTCTAATATTTCATTTTTTGAGTCTAGTCCAAGATTTCAGGAACTTGTGTAATGTGTAATGATGTTTCGTTTTAAAGTCTCGTCCCGGATTTCATCAACTTTTCTCAATTTTATTTTCCCAGTCAAGTTTAGTATTTATCGAATTGAGATAATTTTTTTTCATCCTATGGACAGATTTAGGGATTCGGATTAATTCCGGATTAGTTTAGATCCGTAAAGACCTTACGGAACGTTTCCTGAAGCTTGATGAACCATCTTTCGGAAATTTATGAACCTCCTTTAACCGTTTTATAAAATAAATCTACTTCCTCGGCCCTAGATGCCACACAAAGCTTTGTTGTGTCAAGTTGAAAAAAGTTAACGGGATGATATTCCATATGGAATTCATCCGGAATAATGGTCCGTTAAACTTTTTTCCGCCCGTCACACCTAGCGCATTGTAGCATTGGAGGTAGAAATTTATTCTTATTTCTAACCGAATAGACGTCCTAAATTTACAAAATTAGGATCCAAATAAATCTAGAAGAAATAGGAAACCCTAGATAAAATACAAACATAGGATGAAAAGTTTCTGTTAAATAATTTACATTCCAACCCGTGATTAGGCCTGTACTTGACTATCACTGAGCTATCAGCACGGATTGGAACTGAACTGCCAATGGGAAAAACGTCAAGATGAAATAAGGATCATGACTTTACGTTTTTTTAAGCGATACATTTATTTCAAATCAGGGAAATCTCAAAATTTTCTTTTTTAAACCTGCCTGATTTGATATAAAGTTTATTTGTCGCATATTGCTGATTGTATTTGCACTTGTGTTCCTATACATGAAAATTGATTATTTTTTATATAGTANAAGACAGGTTACGTGGCCGGGCGTAGCGGCCACATATTCAATTATATCCATGTATTATACTCATTATACCCATGTACAAAATTGATAGGAGGGGAGGGGGGAGAGGTCCAAAAAATAGTTCTTAAGGAAATTACACACCAGACATTTTAAATAATGAATTTCAAACAGAAAACTCCAAAATCCCTTCGGAAACGAACAATGTTATAAAGAGCCACAAAGCCGAAAGTTATTGATGTTTAGTCCGGTCCGGTCCGCCATTAACCGGATGATGGGGGTGTCTTTCTGTAGATAATTTTTTAATCTTTTACTGAAGTTTAGCTAAGTATCGAAGCTTCCAACTTACAAATTGACATTATATTAAATCCAACTCTTGCAATTCAGTCGTCATGTTGTTCCTGAATCCTGATTGTTTTCTTAAGAATCAGCGCTGTCAGTAAATTCTCGATTTTTTGATAAATAGAAGTTCTACTTTGACAGTCTTATGATGTATAGCAGATATTAAATACGAAATTGTGAAAGATACCGACAAAATGTATGTATTAATGATGATTTAGATGGATACAGATGAAGGAATGATGATGGTGTAAATTTGTGTAGAAGTATGGGATTGGATTGAAAATAATTGATATATCTATGAACATGGATTTAAGAAATTTGTGGAACTAGAAGTCTAGTTAGTTGTATGGTGGGTTCTCATTTGAACTACTCCCGTTTGAGCTATTGTTCGTTTAAACTATTGTTCATTTGAACTACTGACATGACGTCATATCCTGTAGTTCAAATCAACACATTTCTTGCTCATTTGAACTACTTTTCACCGTAATTCAGTTTTTAAATTTTTTAATAATTCTCATGTTAGATCGAGACAATTAATTAGATAACAATTACACAGAAATGTTTCAAATAAACATATAAATAGTTTAAATTAACATAAAAATAGTGTAAATCAACATAAAAATAGTTCAAATGAAAAAAAAAATTGAAATGAACTTAAAATATAATGTAATGAAAAAAAAAGTTCAAATGAAATAGTTCAAACGAAATAGTTCAAATGAAAAAAACAAAGAGTTCAAATGAAATAGTTCAAATGACCAAAAAAATAGTTCAAATGAGAAAAAAATATTTCAAATGAAAATGACAAAAAATAATTAAAATGAACAAAAAAATGTTAAAACAATTTTACACAGAAATGTTTTAAATGAACATAAATATAATTTAAATTAACAAAAAGATAGTTCAAATGAACAAGTAATGTGCATGCAAAATTCTAGTCAACTTAACATTTTGGGTCCGTCCTATAGTAAGCGATTTTTGGACCGGTTTTTTTAAAAGTTAAAGAGTACATCTTAATATAACACGCTGATTGGTTAAATTTCTAACTTCTTTCTTGGATATCGAATGCGTTTAAAATAATATTGGACTTAGTAAAACCAGGAGTTTAAGCATTAATCTCGATATCCACCATTCTAAAGTTTCAGCTCAGGTTACTCACAAAGGATGAGACTTCAGAGACGATTGTACGGAATTTTTTTCAGTACATTTCCTAGAATTCAGGGTTCCCGTTGGCTAAAGCTGGCTTAATTCTGTGCTTAATCATTTAGTAAACCATCTAAATATTCAATTGAGTGCAGAAAACAAAAATCAAGCTTCAATTTGTCATATTTTTATAGTTTTGGGTCGTGTTCACAGTCTTATGAGTCTCATCCTTTGTGGGTAACCCTGTATATTCGGGGGCTGTGCCTCCCTGGTATAGTGTACATTATGACCCATCTCCAAACTGGCCACTGGAATCAAGGAAATGGTTAAAAATTTAATTACCAAAATTCACAATTAATTACGGCAATTTTAGAGCTTTTTTCACGTATGGACAACCCAATACTCATGTGAACAAACACCTGAATTTAAATTTTTTGAAATTCCCAATTGTTGGAGGGGAAAAAACATTGAAAATACTTGATTTATTTCTATTTTGAATAAGACATCAAACATATTTTGGACAATGAATAGTATATCAAAAACAATTGCTTGGCTTTACATAGAAAAATGAGATAGTAGTGGTGCAGTCAATGAAACTCAGGCGTTACATATATATATAGTTTATATATATAGTTTATGAATTGAGTTGTATCGTTGAGCCACTTCTATCTCAGAATACATAATGTTTATAATTTACGAGATTTTACTAGTTGAAGATGAAAATTGGAATTTTTATACCTTTTTAAAAAGGTATAATCGAACACCACAAATATGATGATGTACACAAATTTTCACGATATACAATATGAAAGATCTAAAGCGCAATTCACTAAATAACTAAAAAGCTCAAATAAACCTAAAAACATTAAAAAAGTTGGAAGGTGTTTTTAATTAGATAATTAAAAAATTTAAATGAGAAAAAATGGAATCGAATAATGTTCAGATATCTACAGATTATAAACAGGATACAGGGCAGTAGAATCTAAACAAATAAAATATAAATTAAAATTTATAATTCCTAAATTTATGACTGGAGCATTTCAACAAAAAACTAACGTTTCTGTCCGAAGTTTTTAAAAAAATGTCTAAAATAAATTTTTTATCCTGGAAATCCGCCAATGAACACAAGAAAATTTAGGAAATTTTCTAGTTCTATGTTGTACGAAGAAAAGTGGTAAGATAAAGCGCAACAATTTTAGGACCTTATAAACTCTGCAAACAATATTTAAATATTGAAGGAAATGATTTTGATTTTGAAACAGCGGATATTTCCAATCAGTATTTAAAAACACAAAACAACTGAAAAACCAAAATAAACTTTTTCTGTACTGTACTGTACTGTACTGTACTGTACTGTACTGTACTGTACTGTACTGTACAATGATATTTACCTGACAAGGTTGTCAGTGTTCTCCTTGGGATCGGGTTCGGCAGTGGTGAACATATTCCTGAATTCAATCAATCTTATATTATTCTGAGATTTATTAAATAATCATAATCAAAGTCTTCTTCCCTGGGGGAGGGTGGGGGGAAAGAAAAAAGAATCTAATAATAGTTTAAGTCAACAAAGCACAATGTAGATTGTAGGTGTTACTCGTATTACCGATGAGAATTTGGTAACACCATGCGAGGAGAACATTTTATTTGAACTGGGGCCCCGATTTAATAAATGAATGAAGTAGTTGAACTATACAGACTTAGTTAAACCACTGTTCTTGCGCATCGGTTCAAGGTGAAGAGGAGTGGTTCAACTAGGTCTAAGTAGTCAAACTTCAACTTCGTTTAGTTTGGTCCCTACTGAACTAACCTGATGGGAAACTGATATGATCTCACTCTGATATCTGACTAGACGGATTTGGTTTCTATAATCAGGAGTTATTTGCGCCTAAATTGAGATTAAAATAAAGTTTTAAAAAGGTTGATAATCTTAGGTCTGATTTAATAATTAGTAAGAAGTGGTTGAACTAGGTATTGCTAGTTTTATTACTTCTCTAAAGACTGACGAGGAACTAAGGAGAGAAAAGATTACTATGCAATCACATATTATTAGCCTGCAATCACCCTTTCCAAACAGGACTGTTCTCCTAAAAATCTAGATTAGAAGAAAGGGTCATCCTGGGAAAACCTAGTACGGGACATTAAATCTGCAGAAAACACTTTCAATATTTATCTTAACTTCCAGCTGACAAGTAAACGTTCCAATCTTCTCTGCGAGTGTCGGATTTTGGAGAAGATTGACAAATTCTAATCTGATAAGAACGGGCATATCAAACTGATCAAGAAAGATTCTAATAATATGGTTAGGATTACATATGTATCTTAAAACTCTTCAGGATTTATGAATATATTCAACAAGTTTTATTTATAATTCTTCATTTATAATTAACTATTTTATTATAATCCTACATTTATAATAAACCATTTTATTATAATCCTACATTTATAATTAACCATTTTATTATAATCCTACATTAATAATTAACCATTTTATTATAATCCTACATTTATAATTAACCATTTTAAATAATCCTACATTTATAATTAACCATTTTATTATAATCCTACATTAATAATTAACCATTTTATTATAATCCTACATTTATAATTAACCATTTTATTATAATCCTTCATTTATAATTAACCATTTTACTATAATTTTTTTACTTGTTTAAAACTTTTAAGGAGCCTAAAGATTTTTTTTTTCAATGAAATAGAGTTCCAGGTCCTTGGGAGAAAAACCGTAGAAAAACGTTTTAGATATTTATTGTTAACTAATTTTAATTAATAACTTTTGTTCTATTAAGTTCTGCTAACGTTATGAACATTCCATTAAAAGATAATGGGTGTTTTCCATTCATATATTTAAACATAAAAATAGCAGAATTAAATTTGATCATGTTTTTTTATTTTTAGAATTTCAAGTTTCAGAAAGAGTGGATCTGTGTGTGCAGCATAACCCTTATCTGCTAGAACTCGCAGAGCTTTTTTCTGCAAAGTAGATATTTTACCTAATTTACTATTTACTGACGGACCCCAAGATAAAATATCATACTCTAGTTGACTTTTAATAAGACTATCATATATTAATTTTCTAATTCTCAAAGGAAGGATATTTTTTAATTTCTTAGTGCAAATATTGCTCTGGAAATTTTAGTACATTTGTGGTCTAGTTGAAATTCCATTTTAGAAACTCATCAAATCTAACTCCTACAAATTTAAAATACTAAAATAACAGTCAATTGTGAAGAAAATATATAATTTCATTTAATTAGATTTAATCTGTTTTCTACAGAGGGAAAATAAAAAATATATATTTATATAAACTGGGGTTGGAGTCTTCCAATTCTAAGCAGTTATGGATTATTTAAAAAAAACCTGAAAATTAATAATTTGAATCGAATGGTTTAAAATGCTTTCCATTTCAAAATGAAAGGTTGTTTTACAATAACTAGAACGAGCTTTTTTGGATTTAAGGTATATCCAACCCACCCCTTTGAGGATCTCAGCATAAATTATGCAATAATAATATTCTTACTGACCTTATATCCTCCTTTCCTAAGCAGACTATCTATAGTCTCTATCTTATCCCAGCCCTGCTCATGGGCTACTTCAGGCAGGTAGGTCGCACTACGCTTAGAACCTGATCAAATATTTTTATTTAAACAAGAAAAAGTTATGAGATTATAGATTTTATAATTTCTTACTTATCTAAATATCGAATTATATTGATTACTAGCTGAAGGGATCGGCGTTGCCAGTGGAATTAAATAAAAAATAAGATATTTTTCGATTTTGAAAAAATATTTTATTTTTGAGAAATACCAATTTTAGAATTTGTTTAGCCTATGTTACCCCCAGGGTACCCAAGGGTTCCCTCAAAAAATTTTAGCCCATTCGGTCCAGCCGTTTGGCCGGCTATTGGGATCATATATACGAAAGTCTTGTTTTATTTTATAGAAGATGAATCCTTAACATAAAAAAATATTTTCTTTCTAATTTCAGAAGTTATCTATTGAATTGTTTTAAAAGACTAGCTAAAAAATATAAACATTGAAAGACAAGTTTTTATCCTCATTGATATTTCTTAGTTTTAACAAAACTGACAAAGAAACAACTCTTATTCCATTAAAAAAGACAGGGAAATATATTTTAATAAAAAATAAATGATTTTTGAAAACAGGGGGGAAAATGAAAAATTTTACATCCAAAAACATATTTTTTTTTCATCCTTTTTCATATTTTTTTTATTTAGTTTCCCCTCTCATACCTAACTTCTGTGGAAAACAATGATTTTCAAAAAAGAGTGCAAAACGCTTTTTCAAGAAAATATACACCCCTGTAATAAGAACAACTCTTGAAAACAAATTAGACGAACCTTTCTCGTTGATGAACTCTATCCGAATACCGTGAACTCCGATCTCCCAGTCCAAATAATTCTGACCGGGTTCAAACCGGCAGAGTATGGAAACAGAGACCTGCGTGATACAAAATAAAAAAAACTCAAAATTTTCAACATTTTAAACATAATTTTCGACTAAAATATCTTGAAACAATAATGTTGATCACTTACAGATGCGGTGTACGTAATTTTGTATGACCCGCTTCTTTAACAGTCGCTTGTCGGATGCACAGCGTGTTAAATTCTCTGATTTCTTTCATTGTTTCTGCAGGGAAAATCAGCAGGTCACTTTTACCGAGTATCCAAAGTTAAAAGCAATCAATTTTCAGTCAAAATATTCATCCTTGATCAGACAGCATCTTGTAAATCAGACACGGAAATGCCATTCTTTAAATGGAACGTCACAATTAAAAGTTGGTCTATATGCATGCAGCTACTCAGCTTGTTGCTTAATTTAGTAAAAATAAAACAGATGCAGTGGTCTGCTTATCCTTTCCTCATTAAAGGAACTTAAGACGTCCAGTGACATGTCATAGTTGGATTTACAATAGAACCTTTAAATCTTGTGTTTAATCGAGAATGTATGAGATATCTTTATATTCTTCCTGTAGGTGGGGGAATATATCTCTTGATACTGGAGAAAATATTAATAATGTTTATATTCTACCTGTAGGTGGGGGAATATATCTCTTGATACTGGGGAATATATTAATAATGTTTATATTCTACCTGTAGGTGGGGGAATATATCTCTTGATACTGGGGAAAATATTAATAATGTTTATATTCTACCTGTAGGTGGGGGAATATATCTCTTGATACTGG